TTTCCTGAGAATGTTTATCCATGCTTGTAAGGATTAAGCTGCCGAAAGCATGTTTTTTCTTTCCCCTTGTTTTAATTAACAATGCAGTATAAAAGAAGGAGAGAAAAAAGTAAAGACGCTGCTCATTTTCTACTGAATGCGTGTGTGTGCGTGTGTCTTTCTTAAGCATCTCTGCTGTACCAGGAATTACATATTGTCAGCGGGTCTGACAACTGGGCACTAAAGTTTACATTATTTTTTGAGACTTCCTGTGTATTAAGTGCTATTTTGGTGGTGGAAATACAATATGGAACAGAGTATTTAGTGTCCATGCTCTCAAAGAATGTGAAGCCCAGGACTGATCATAGATAAACCAACAGCAGATTCAGTGTCACCCTGAGGATGCACACATTGCTGTCTGCTCCCATATTGATCTGCTTGCAACATTTTTGAAAAACCAGCTTTCTATCTACTTCTCCATATTTCAACCTAATGTCTTTTCTTTGGAGGGCCCATTCCTGTCAACTTTGCATATAAAGTCAGTGCATTCCTCTTAGTCTTTATCAGACCTTCTTTCTTTCATCAAATTACCATCAAATAAAACATTAATTTTTAATTATGAAATGTTCCATATATATACTCATAAATATAGAGAACAAGATAGAATATGTTTGTACTTAGTACACACCCAAATTTAACAAAATTAAATATTGGCCACTTTTGTCTAAGGCCATTTCTTAAGAAATGGAAGGATTATGCTTTGTAATCTTTTCTAATTTCATTTCCCTGTTAGTGTTGTGGGATTGGAAGGTTGATATGTATCCTTCTAATAATGTTTTAACAGTTTCATTGCACATAGATGTAAATAATATATAGTATCATTTTTATTTTGTGTTTCATAAATTTAAATAGTATGCATGTATAATTGTAAAATTTATTTTTGCCTCTTACTATGTTTTTAAGACTTATTCACAGTATACTAAAGATGTAATACTGAAGATGTAATTTACTGATTTTTTAAATTAAATTATTTCTTTATTATAATTTGTTATACATGATGGCAGAATGCAATTCATTTTATATTGCATATATAGAACACAATTTTTCAAGTCACTGATTGTACACTAATTTACTGATTTTTTAATAAACATCTATATGAATTCCACCATATACATATAGTAAAATGTGTTACTCCGTTCCCTTATAGCTGAATGTTATAATCTTCAATTTTTCAGTTATAAATACTTTGAATACTACCTATTTATGAACATTTAAAAAAAATTTTCTAGGGTAAATAGCAGAAAATGGGTTATAGGCTATATATGCATAAACCTCATGAAATTTGTCAGATATTAATAAATTTCCCTTCTTAAGTGTTACACGGATTTTAATACCTATCAGCAATGTAAGGTATTTCCAAGTTTGTTATATCTTTACCATCATTTTGCTTCACTAGGCATTTTACCTTTTGTCATCTGATGAGTGAAATAGTATCTTGTTTTAATGTATATTATTAATAAGGTTACATGTATTTTTATTTGTTTATTGGCAATTTTAGATTGTATCTTCAGTTTGATATCTCAATACATTATGTGTAGGATCTATAAAAACCTCTCTCTGCCCCTAATTAGTAGGCCTTTAACTCTATTGTTGCACTTTTGTTTACTAAAGGCTTCAGAAATTATTCTCAGCCAGACATTCTGGAGTCATCAAATACTCTAAGGAAAAAGTTCTCTAACACAGGATTAACAACATGGGTGCTATTTTACCCCTGAATTTTGGATTCATAATAATTCTGTTTTAGTTTTGTTGATACCTTTGGCAAAAAAGTATATATACACCAATCATTTCAAGTTTTTATAGTTATTTCCACTGTGAAGTTTTTTTTCTATTTCCTTGTATGTCAATAATGGAGATGAAAGTACTACAAGTGTATTATTATTATTCTTTCAGGTACTGGGAATTGAACCTGGAGATGCTCCACCACTGAGCTACAACTCTAGCCTTTTTTATTTTTTATTTCTCTCTCTCTCTCTCTCTCTCTCTCTGTATATATATATATATATATATATATATATATATATATATATACATATATATATTTATTAAATATATATGTATATAAATAAATATTTTTATGTGGTGCTGAGAATCGAACCCGGGTCCCCGCGCTAGGCGAGTGCTCTACCACTGAGCCAAAATCCCAGCCAAGTATTTTTTTAAATACATTTTCTGCCCATCTCTTTCTTCTTCTGGAACTCCCATAATTTGCATTTTGGTACACCTTATGATGTCATGTAGTCCTTTATTGTTTCTCCACTCTTTTTTTTTTT